TTGAACTCTTTATATTGGGAACTATCACTGGGATAAAGGTTAGAATAAACATTGGGTTTTATTTCTTGATAACCAGCTAAAGGTAGAGAATTATTATTAAGGTCAAATACTGTGTCCCCTACTCTCACTTCATGCATATCCCGAATGTTAGCGGTAAATCAACCAATTTCGCCAGCAACTAATTTATTTTTTAAAACTTCTTTCGGTGTTTTTACTCCTACTCTTTCTATTTGGTAAACTTTTTGTTGATTAGTGGCAAACTTAATTTTTTGCCCTTTTGCTAATTCTCCTTCAAAAATACGCACATAAATGATTACTCCGTAATAACGGCTATAAAGCAAGTCAAAAATCAAGGCTTTTAATGGCTCTTCTTTCACTATTTACCTAATTTTTTTAAATCTTAATTTATTAATTTGTTCCCTTAATTCTTGAATTTCCTTTTGTTGTTGTTCTAATTCTTGACTGGTTAAAACAGTTTGGGTGCTTTGGTTGACTGTTTTTTTTTGCTCTCGCTCAAATATTTTATTGCTTATTCCAATGGGGTGGGCTAACTGTCAGGCTTCAAGGTCATAGTTGAAAGGTCGGAGTTGGTTTTGGATTTTGGCTACTTTGGCATCATCTCTTAAAGGTTGACAGTCAATTAAGTTTTCGAGCATAGCATTTTCACCTTCTTTTACTTTTTGGGCTGATAATTTAGCTATTCCAATGGGTATATACTCCAAACCTTCCTCAACATCAGTGCTAGAAATACAAAATTCCTCTAATTTAGTTAAGTTTTTAATGGGTTCTAGGGAGCCGTAGAATTTATTGTAAGTTCCACTTTCTGGTCTTTGATTTAATTTATCTTTATCTTTATTCGAGTTTTTTCCTAACTTACAATCCTTTAAATTAGCAAATGTTCGTAAAAAATCAAGGGTGGTTGGCGAAATATTGTTTTTTTTAATTGTGGGGTCGCTATCGTAGACTTCTAAAACCTCTAACTTTTCAGGATGAAGTAAAGTGTCTAAGAAGTCGACAGAGGTTAAGTTGTTACTGCCACAGC